CCCTAACTCTTTTTTACTTTTGATTTCTGATTGGTGTGTGGGGGTGTGGGTGTGATGCGACGGGGAAGGCCGGTGGGGGGAGGGATTTTTTTAGCCATCTTTGGGCGGTTTCGAGATAGTGGTAACAGTACAGTGGGATTAAGGCGTGGCGACCGAGGGCGGTAAAGGTTAAAAAAAAAGAGTAGGAGGAGGGGGTACACCGCACCCGCCGCGTGACAGATGGCGGCCAAAGTGAAAAAACAAAGCTCGCAATTAATCCATTGGCACTTCGGCCTTGGGCACGGCACATCACATGGGCGTATATATATCGCCTTTCCCCCGGCCACACCCCCTTCCAAATCTCTTGGCTCCCCATGCTCTCCCCGTCCCACTGACGGTGGTCCCCACCGCCCCCCGCCCCGCCCATATCTCGTCGGCGACCCGCGCCCCCTCCCCGCCCCACCCCACACGTCTCCGGCGGCGAGGGCACCCGGCCGTCTCCGGTGAGCCTCTCCCCACTCCTCCTCCTCCCCCCGTTTCCTGGCCGCGGCGCGCTCCGGGAGTGCGGGCTCGTTTGGTCGGCGGTGCCGGCCGCAGTCAGCCGCAGAGTCGTAACCGCTTTCGCCTCGTGCCCGTGCTCGCAGGTTTTCTGGGGCCGCTCGTGGCTGGCGCCGGGATGGAGCCGGTCGGGGCGCGCCGGCCGCCCGGATCTCGCCGTCGGGGCGCCGTCTCCCTCAGGTGAGGACTTCCCCTGCCCCGTCTCTCCCGTCTTCCCATCCTCTGTTTGCGCTGCGAAGGAAGGTGGGCGGAGTGATCTGCTTTTTTTCCCTCTTCTTCTTCTTCCTTTTGGGGTGGGTGACTTTACCAACTGAAGCCGGCCACGACTCGTCGAGTGATGAGTGACATTGTACCCAAGCAACTTAAATTCCGTTTTCTCTGACGGTGACAGTGGCTGCTGAATTGGTTGGGGAAACGTCTTTGTCACCTTTCCTGTTAGTGACGTGCGACGGTTCCGGGCGACAGAATGTGTGGTTTCTACATCGTTTTCATGGCTCCAGCGGCCACCGGACGTGTGTTCTCTTTTACTGGCGCGTCGATTGGTTTGCGGTGGGCATAGGAAGGTGTTTTAGCCGGGTTTTATCCTCTAAATCTGGGATTATCTTGTAGTTTCAGTATTTTCTTCTTGTTCTTTCGGCGAAGCTGTAAGAATCCAGTTTACGTGTTCCATGTGAATCTGTTGTAAAATCGGACCGTTAATTTTGGACTGTTTCTCATGTTCTTGGATCTAGAACTGACGGATGGTAGGTCTAATGTGCTACCAGGTTGTGTGCTACGACGATTTTGTTGTGCAGCTTGTTGAGATTTGATATTTCGTGGCCTTTGTCTTCGTGCATTGAAGGATGTTAGTACAATGTTTACGGCATTCATTTATTGAAGCAAATAGTAACTAATTGTCATGGGCTTTTTTTATTGTGGAGCTCCATGAGCTTTTTTGGTCGATTGGCTGTCCAGGTTCCTGAAGAACAAATCATATAGCCATTGTCTTGTTGATTGACGCAGTTTCTCACCTTTTTGCTGCTGATGTTTAGTTCCTTGCTTGATTCTCGATACTGTTAAGTTGAAATAAAATGATTTCCCATTGAAGTAAATAATGTAAATATTTTCTGTGCAAATAGTCAGCTACAAGAGTGAACGTTCCTGTATGAATCTGATGTTGAACTCTGTACCGGTTGCTATGGTGAAAGTATATATACTGTCTGCTGTTTTTCTTTTTGATCGAGAATATTTGTGAAACGTTTCAAATAACCTTGTGCTTGTTTTGATCTTCATCTCAATATATTTTCCAGGGGCAGCCTTTGAACCTCTGAACTTTTGTGTCCCTGGGTCTGCGGTGATAAGTCAGGGAAAACAATGGAAGATTTACAAGATTGCAACTCCAAAAGCCTTGTTGCTGTTCCTGGTTCTCTAGTTCTGCACCTCTTCAGGCTGTTAGGTCAGCAGGATAATTCCTGGCAGAAGTACGCCTTGGCTTACTTTCTCTTGGTCAGGAATGAGTACTTCCCGAGGGAGCCAAGGAAAAGCTCTGCTGTGAATGGGCAACTTGTTCCCTGCTGTGATAGTTCAGATTTGGGGAGTAATGAACTGGAAGTGGAGAAGCAGAATGCTGTTGTCAAGAGCCAATCAGGAGGTGATTCCAGTTCCAATGGATCAAATGATTGTTTCCTTCCAGGCCTTCATGATGATCTGGCTCAAGACTGCCTTGCCTGGACAAGCAGATCAGACTACCCTTCACTCTCTTGTCTGAACAAGAAATTCAATACGTTGGTTAACGGTGGATATCTGTACAAGCTGCGGAGGAAATATGGCATTGTTGAGCATTGGGTGTATCTGGCCTGTAGCGCTATGCCCTGGGAAGCATTCGATCCGTCGCGAAACCGGTGGATGAGGCTCCCGAGAATGCCATGTGATGACTGCTTCTCCTGTGCAGACAAGGAGTCACTTGCTGTTGGGACACAGCTGCTTGTCTTTGGCCGAGAATATACAGGCCTTGCTATTTGGATGTACAATCTACTGACACGCCATTGGTCTCGCTGCACTCCGATGAATCTTCCTCGCTGCCTGTTTGCCTCGGGAAGCTCTGGTGAGATTGCCATTGTTGCTGGTGGGTGTGATAGGGACGGGCAGGTGCTGAGATCTGTGGAGCTGTACAATTCAGAGGCTGGGCAGTGGGAGACCTTGCCAGACATGAACTTGCCGCGGAGACTCTCCTCAGGTTTCTTCATGGATGGCAAGTTCTATGTCATCGGGGGTGTGACAAGTGAGAGGCATTCTCTGACTTGTGGAGAGGAATTCGATCTCGACACCAGGACATGGAGAAGAATACATAATATGTACCCCGGAGGCACCAGCGCCTCCCAGTCGCCTCCGCTCATCGCCGTTGTAAATAACCAGCTCTACGCGGCTGACCAGTCCACAAACGTGGTGAAGAAGTACGACAAGGCAAGCAACACATGGAACATAGTGAAGCCCTTGCCCGTCAGAGCGGACTCTTCCAACGGCTGGGGCCTGGCTTTCAAGGGATGCGGCGACAGGCTGCTGGTCATCGGCGGCCACAGGGGACCTCGCGGCGAGGTGATACTGCTGCATTCCTGGTGCCCCGAAGATGGGAACGGCGCCGGCGCCGCCGCCGACTGGGAGGTGCTCTCGGTGAAGGAGCGCGCCGGCGTCTTCGTCTACAACTGTGCAATAATGGGGTGCTGAGTTAGCAGCACCCTGGCTTCAGTACATGCCGCCACTTGTTTAGCAAAAACCACCGATTCGTTGCTGCCATTCTAGCTGCTGCCACTTCGTATAATGACTTGTAATTCAGATATGACACCCCCTTTCCGCGGAGCTGTCGATTAAAATGTCGGGTCGAGAGCATAGAGAGCATTCAGTTCAGTTCACCTGGAACTTCTCTTTTAACACTCTTCATTCAAAAGTCCTTATTCTTGTTGTCTGGCATGAATTTTTTTCCACGCAGTATTCTTTGTTCACTCGTTATTCTGCTGGGCCGAGTCGAATCCCATCTTTCAGTTGCATATATTGTCTCTGTCCCATACGTATAGATCGGTAGATTCTGTTCTACGTACATACTAAAGAGTATGTGTGTGTGTGTGTGTGTGTGTGTCTGTTGTTCAGAGTCGGGCAGTAAACATTTTACACTTTGCTGGTCCATGCAAAGTGTCGGTGGTACGCAGGCTCAAGGGACGGGAAGGGACCAAATCAATTAGAGAAAAGGGGACCAAATAATTGGAATCGCCAGATGCTCGCACTGTTGTGCGCTGCCGCCCCTGCTCCAACTTGCCCCGCTGCTGTGTTTCCCTGCGCCGTACCCGCCAATTCCCTCTCGGCCTCACACATTTCTTTCGCGGTACAGCTTGACAGATACGGGTGGTGGTGGCGGCGGCAAAAAGGCTGTCTGTCTGCCGCCGCATCTCGATGATCACTTTCTGAGGTGAGGTGAGGATCCTGGGGGAAAATATGCGGCGGTAGGAGGAGGGAGTACAATCTCCCCAGCTTCCTCGCGTACTTGGCGTACCTCCGGTTGCGCGACGCGCCCGGGTTTCATTTGTCAGCGATACAGTTTGGCCCGGGGCCTTTTCTGCCTCGCCTTTTTTTGTTTGAATTTTCTGCCTCGCTTTTGTTGATTCTAAGGCTCGGTCCTGTCAACCGGGTCAAAATGGACGGAACTTCAACACAAAATTACCTCAATAGAGTGCGATGCTATTGATGCCTCGGGCTAGATAGCATGATGCCTCGGGCTAGGGCGCGATGCTATTTGACATGACGTCTTAGCCTGAGACGCCATGCTACATGTCGCTACCATGGCGCCCTAGTGCCATGCTATCTAGCCCCAGACGTCATGCAAAAAATGGCAGTTTATGATTTTTTTTTGCAAATTGGGGTCATTTTATGTTGAAGTTTCAGAAAAGGATCAATTTGGTCCATTTTGGCGTCAACCGGGTTTACTTCGCCCGTGGTTTTGCAGGACGTTTCACCGGCGCGGTGTCCGGCGTACGGCCGGTGTGGATGTGTGTGAGAATCACCGGCTTGCGCATTGGTTCGATCGCTCGCTGTCTCTCACTGTCTCTCCGAGTTGACGGTGCAATCCGTTCCATCGCTCGCTGTCTCGCACTTTAACGAGTTGACGACGACTGGGGCCGTTCAACGGGCCCAACTGGGAGTATGGTTTGACATGTTCACGCCGCGACGATTTCGCCGGCTACGACTTACGGCTGGTTGACAATTGACATGGTGATTTCTGGAAGTTTTTGATCCGTTCTCCACTTCTTTCTCGGCTGCACTGCACACGCTCGCTCAGCCCGTCGCCGTCTCCCGAGCCAGACGTGGAGCTCGCTGGCTTGACCGTATCCCCGTAAGAGCATGGCGCGTGATTTGCACGGAGCCAGTTCTCTCTGATGCCGACACCGCCGTGGCGTGGCGTGGGTGTTCCGTCAGGCGTGGCTCAGAACCGCAGCCCGTTTCAAGGTGAGACTGGAGATGAATTTGGTCAAGGTGTGTCCATTCCAAATTGTTCAGAACACACCATGCCTCCTCGACATCATGCTTGGATTAGAAATCCATCCAGACCAGCAGGCCGACCCATGTTAGTCATCATCACAGTGAACACTGAAGTCTGACGGCAATGCGAGGAGCTCTCTCCAACACAGTGGTGGTTCAGAGATGTGAAGCATACAATGCAAGAGATGTGAATCGTACTATCTTGATCATCTCCATCTCCAGATATTTACATCGTACACAACAAGCAAGCGACAGGTTGCCCCATTAACCCAACCCCTCCTCATGGAGAAAAAAAAATAAAACAAATAAAACAAAGCAATATATCCTCCAAAAATTGCAGGCATATCTATCACCGAGGCAATGTACAAATCGAACGAAGCTAATTTCCTGTCCAACTCTTCATACAGATGTCTGCGTGTGGTTCTCCGACGACGTGAAGGGCTCCGATATCTCCGTGGTGGAGAAGGATCTCGACGTGTTGGACCGCGCCTGGTTCGCTCCGTGCGGTTTGGTGCTGACCTTGAGCTCCGCAAAGTCAGTGATCATGGCTGGCCTGGTGATCTTCTCCATGGAGATGCTCTTGCTTCCCGTGAGCATCCTCACGACGGTGGGCATGTGGGGGCGGCGCGCCATTGCGTCCTGTGTGCATAGCAGGCCGATCTTCAGGAACCGGCATGCCTCCTCGATGTCCAGGTCTTCGTCTATGTCGGCATCTATGATCTCTTCTAGACGCTCTTGCTCATAGAATGCCCATGTCTGTACAAAAGATGCAGCAGGTTTTGTCAAATTCAGCATTGTTCTTTGAACGTTTGCTCAGTCAACTTATGGTGTAGTTGCTTCGGTATGCAACTGACACCATTTTGTATTCAGGTTGTCAATAAAAGCTATTTGCAAATAAGTAGAGCTTACCTTCTCAAGGAGGAATTGATCTTCACAAGGCAATCTTGTGTTGGTGTTACATCTGCCACTGACGATTTCCAAGAGAAGAACCCCATAACTATAGATGTCAGACTTCTTCGTCACTTGACCTCGGATAGCATATTCAGGAGCCAAGTATCCTCTGAAAAGAAGTGAAATTACTAGTCAGAACAGAAAATACAGTCTAAGAAAGAAGGCTGTAAAAACAGGGGTTGAGTTATGCTTACAATGTGCCTGCCACTCGGGTGCTAACATGAGTTGCATTGGCAGGAAGGAGCCTCGCCAATCCAAAATCAGAAATTTTCGGGGTGAGGTCCTTGTCGAGAAGAATGTTGCTCGCTTTTATGTCGCGGTGGATAATGTGAGGACGGATTTCCTCATGAAGAAATGCAAGTCCGCGGGCAACGCCCACGGCAATTTTGACACGAGCCCTCCAGTTGAACTGGATGCTGCTATAGCCAGACCCTGCAATAGCACATGCAGAACATCTGTAAGTATGACAACCAATGAAGGAATCGACGAACAGCAGAAATGCTCGGCAGGACAAAGTGTTAGTACCTAGCAATGTCTGTGAAAGGCTGTTTTTCTCAAGATAGTTGTAAACGAGGATCCTATGGGACCCTTCAGCGCAGCAACCAACAAGTGTGACGAGGTTTTCATGCTTGATGTCTGAAATTGCTGTAAGTTCAGTTAAGAACTCTCGGACACCTTGCCTTGAAGTGGCTGACAGAACCTTCACTGCGATTAGTGTGCCGTCTTTGAGCATTCCCTGGTGAAGCAAAATGAAATGTTAGCAAAAGGTGTTTGATAATGTTGACCTTCAGGCAGTGACGAAGCGGTCAGTAACCTGTGCATAATTACCCTGAATACGGAACCAAAACCACCCTCTCCAATCTTGTTTGCCCCACTGAAATCTTGAGTTGCCTTTCTCAACTCGTTGTAAGAAAAGACCTTCACACTATGTTCACCTGAGACAAAGAAACAACCACAGAAGAAAGCATATAAGAACGGAGAATTGTTTGAGCATGGAAGGGACCAGGCAAATATGTGCAAAGGATGCTCACCATCATCGCCTTCAACAGCATGTTGAGATCTCCGTCCGAACATAAAGCAGCAATCCATGTTGATATCAAACTAGAAGGAATTTCTGCAAGAAATATATGTAGCAGGCTGTCAGTCAGATAAGAATTATATACCTGTAATGCAACAATAGATGAATCCAAAACAGAGGCCTATAAGCAACACACTAACTTAGTGATTGTTGACTCAAATATCAATTATTGGTGTGAACAGCAAGACACAGATTTTAAAACACAAACTGGACAACAGTTATGCTTTTAAATTACTGGAATCCAAACTGCATAACAGAAAGAAAGCTGAAGCTGAACTACCCTTTTGTTTAACGACCTAGCCATATTATCCTAACTCACTAGGTTATGATTATCCCGTACTGCACGTGCAAGATAATATGGAAATTTTGAAGCAATCAAGGCTTTAGTAGAAGCCATCCCTCCCATTTGCTGATCATTTTAAAGAAATGGAACATTTGGTTGTCACAAGTAAACGCGGCCCTATCTCTCTGAAAGAAACATGCACCTAACACAACCGCTGGACCAGCTAATCACAAAGTTGAAGCTCAGCAATATCGTAATAATCCAACCCATTCGGAAATGAGGATTTGGACACAGAGCAAAGGGAACTGATTGTTATAGCTGTCGAATTGCACCCGAAATAATGGTTCGAGAAAAATTGCACCCGAAATCGGAAAAACTTCACCAATCAAAGCCTGGATTTGGCTACAGAAACTGATGGCAATACAAAGAAAAAAGGGAGAGACAACTATGAAAACCTCTCCCCGTCCTCCCCTAAGATAAGATCCCGGGAAGAAGCAAAGACGGCCATGAGAAGAGTCCCGATCTAAGACGGCGTCTCAAAGACGGCCAATCCACCGAACCAAACCCATCCAGACCACTAGCTGAATCCGGAGCTGGAAGAAAGAAGAGAGAGCGAGAGCGCAAGAATCACCTTGCAGATAGATAGATAGATAGCGGCGCCGAGCAGGATCGATCGAGCCTGCCTCGCTCCCTGTGCTAGCGGCCGGCTGATAAACAACGACGACCAGTGGGTGCGGACGAGAGGAGGCGGTGGCGTACAAGGCGGCGGTGGCGGGCGCAGTTAAGAGCAGAGGAGGGGGAGGGTGGAGGGGGAGGAGTAGGCGGAGAAGGACAAGGATATGAAGAGGGAGAAGGCGGTGAGAAGGATCTCGGGAGCACCACGAGGCTTTGACTTTCTCCTCCCTCCCGTTCCTCTTCTTCCTACTCCTGCCGCTGCTGCTGCCGCTCGCCTCACCCCACCCCACCCCACACCCAGCCTCTGCGTGCGTCCAAGTCTCCTGCCCTGCTTGTATTTTTGCCGGAAAAATTGGGCCGCTTGTTTATTCGTGTCTCCTTTTGCTTTGTGAAGTTTGGCGGTTGCGACCGGGAAGAACGAACGAGGAGGTGTGGATCGATCGAGTTGGTTAAAATGTCGTTGGGTGGGAGGGAGGGGCGCGACGGGTTTTTCCCCGCGTGCGCGTTCGGCTGGCCTCGTGGGCACGTCCGCCGGGGGCAGCAACGCGGAAGCGGCCGCGACCGGCTCCCTCCCTCCCTCCCGGTCAGCACTCTGCGGCGCCCGTTGGCGTTGCCCCCACGTCCACTTCGCCGGAGGGTCTCGCCCTGCCGCCGATGTGGCGCGTTCCTGTGAGGCGATGGGACCGGTGTGCTGTAGACGAGACTTGTGCACGCACGGCCACGGCGAAAACATGTCGTCCACGCCACGGGCCTACGGTATGGGCACTGTACCTGTGCGTTGTAGGAGCGCGTTGGCGCAGCGGGTTCTACGTGACGAAGGACGTGTCCGGACCGCCGCAAAGCCCCTGTTTGCAGAAAAAAAAGCGTCTAGACGACTAGACCGCTCCACGGATAAGTACGGGACTATATTGGATGATAAAACACGTTCGTATCACGCGGTTCAAGCGAATGCGGTGGCTTGAGGGTCCACGTTGAAGATGTTGTTAGGCCATCTTTAACATGAACCCTCGGAACTCCCGCATACGTCCGAACGTACTTGTCCGGACACAGTTTGCCATGTTTAGGTGGTGTATTTTGTAATTTGACGATGATGATATTAGACGGTGTTCCAGCTCGAGATAGGGAATCGTCTAGATCGGGTGCTTTGTCGAGACCTCATGGGAGGGCAGGGTACCCTCATGAGGGCTCGTCAGGACTTCACCAATAGAGCCGTCCATACATACTATCCAGCGCATATCAGCGGCTGGACAGCTAATCGTCTCAGTGTCGTGCACACATCCATCGTTTACGTAGTAGTTTTGCTTCACCAAAGACTATTATTACATTGAATACTTAAATATAGTCTGCCCTATGTTTTTTTGCGAACCACGATGCAGGCACAAACCCTCACACACATACACATACTTACCCTATTTCTATGAGCACCTTCAAAAGACTAAGTCGACAAGTCTTGAGATTGAGGAAGTTACCACAAAGGCCTTACTTAAAATGGCGATGGGCCTCGAAACCCGCATCCCCCTTGGGTTTTTACCCTATTAGGGGGGCGGTGATGGGCATGTTTCATCCCCACGAGGCTGCTCTTGGGTAAAATTTAAAACATGTAAGTTTTGCGAGTGCAAACCTGTTCTAGCACTACCTACACCCCGAACCCGCCTAACCCATGAAACATGTGCCTCGGTGTCCCCATAATAGATATCTCGCCTCTCTCTACCTGAAAATTTTACTTCTAGTTGCCATCCCACAACACTCCCTCGTCTAAACTCTAGGCCTAGCCCCAATAATCCCAGATCCATGCACCCATCTGCTCACCATGTGGTGCCGCCTCCGAAATCCCGATGTGGTACCTTCCACCGCCATGTCAAAACACTGAAACCCATCTCTCAGCCGGCAATTGCCTATGTGTTGCCTCCCCGCCTGCTCACATCCCTCTGGTCATTGCCGCTGCCTGGAGCACATGCCCATCTCGCAGCTTCCTCCATTTGTTCCTCCTGTCGTTGATCGTCCGACCTCCCGTCGTGACTGTCTACTCTGGGGCAGCTCCTCCCTAGTTCCTCGACCAAGCGTTTGAGGCTCCGAGCAGCACACACGCTGAAGGAAATATGCTCTAGAGGCAATAATAAATTTATTATTTATTTCCTTATATCATGATAAATGTTTATTATTCATGCTAGAATTGTATTAACCGGAAACATGATACATGTGTGAATACATAGACAAACAGAGTGTCACTAGTATGCCTCTACTTGACTAGCTCGTTGATCAAAGATGGTTATGTTTCCTAGCCATAGACAAAGAGTTGTCATTTGATTAATGGGATCACATCATTAGGAGAATGATGTGATTGACTTGACCCATTCCGTTAGCTTAGCACTTGATCGTTCAGTTTTTTGCTATTGCTTTCTTCATGACTTATACATGTTCCTATGACTATGAGATTATGCAACTCCCGTTTACCGGAGGAACACTTTGTGTGCTACCAAACGTCACAACGTAACTGGGTGATTATAAAGGTGCTCTACAGGTGTCTCCGAAGGTACTTGTTGGGTTGGCGTATTTCGAGATTAGGATTTGTCACTCTGATTGTCGGAGAGGTATCTCTGGGCCTGAGGGAGTCCTGGATTAGGGGGTGTTCGGGTAGCCGGACTATACCTTCGGCCGGACTCCTGGACTATGAAGATACAAGATTGAAGAGTTCGTCCCGTGTCCGGATGGGACTTTCCTTGGCGTGGAAGGCAAGCTTGGCGATGCGGATATTCAAGATCTCCTACCATTGTAACCGACTCTGTGTAACCCTAACCCTATCCGTGTCTATATAAACCGGAGGGTTGTAGTCCGTAGGTGATCAACTCCATACACAATCATACCATAGGCTAGCTTCTAGGGTTTAGCCTCCTTGATCTCGTGGTAGATCTACTCTTGTACTACCCATATCTTCAATATTAATCAAGCAGGAGTAGGGTTTTACCTCCATCGAGAGGGCCCGAACCTGGATAAAACAAAGTGTCCCCAGTCTCCTGTTACCATCCGGCCTAGACGCACAGTTCGGGACCCCCTACCCGAGATCCGCCGGTTTTGACACCGACATTGGTGCTTTCATTGAGGGTTCCTCTGTGTTGTCACCTTTAGGCCCGATGGCTCCTCCGATCATCAACAACAATGCAGTCCAGGGTGAGACTTTTCTCCCTGGATAGATCTTCGTCTTCGGCGGCTTCGCACTGCGGGCCAATTCGCTTGGCCACCTTGAGCAGATCGAAAGCTACGCCCCTGGCCATCAGGTCAGGTTTGGAAGCCTAAACTACACGGCTGATATCCGCGAGGACTTGATCTTCGACGGATTCGAGCCACAGCCAAGCGCGCCGCACTGTCTCGATGGGCATGATATAGCTCTGCCACCGAACAGCGCCTTGGAGGCCGCACACGCATCGGTTCCGACCATTAATTCGGAGCCTACTGCACCGATCGAGGATCAGCGGTTGGACGCTGCCTCAGGGGCTGCGATCTCAGAGGCGATCGAGCCGAACTCCAGCCCTGCACTCCGCATGGCCCGTGACTCCGAGGAGCCGGATTCCTCTCCGAACTCCGAGCCTCCCGCACCCCTGCCGATCGAATCCGGTTGGGCGCCGATCAAGGAGTTCACCGCCGCGGACATCTTTCAGCACTCGCCCTTCGGCGACATCCTGAATTCCCTAAAGTCTCTCTCTTTATCAGGAGAGCCCTGGACGGATTACGGTCAGCGAGGATGGGATACGGACGATGAAGAAATTCAAAACCCACCCACCACCCACTTGGTAGCCACTGTCGACAATTTAAACGACGTGCTCAACTTCGACTCCGGAGACATCGACAACATGGATGATGATGCAGGAGATACCGACGAACCAACGCCCATAGGGCATTGGACAACCACCTCATCTCACGATGTGTTCATGGTGGACACCCCTAAAGGAAGCGACAACGAGGAAAAAGGGGATGGGACGAGAGATCGACCCCCCGAAAAGCAATCAAAGCGTCGGCGTAAACGCCGACCCAAGCTCCGCCTCGACAAAAACCCAG